ATATTCAATAGTGTCTCTCAACGACTTTGCTTACACGTGCGCGCATAATTACAAAAAAAAAAAATCCGTGAATAAAAAAGAAGATATACAGTTGTCGCTTAGATAATAGTTCCAGATATCGCATATGTAATATATGTACAAAACATACTTAACATAGTGTGACTCACGTGAAGTTTTGCAGAATTTTTATTATTATCATATATCTAGTTACTATTAATTGTAATTCGGATGGTAATCATCATGATAATTTTATCAATTTACAATAAATTACAATGTATCAAAGCATTTCATGTTCTTATTCGTGTTAAGCGATAAAATATGTGTATTACGAAATACTTTCATACTTGAGGAGCTATGTTGCGCTCTCTCTCTTCTGTCTGCAAAGATAATTACACTTTATCCTATCTAGTTCTTCATTTTAACGAGCATCTTCTGAAATGTATTTTATTATGTCCATTATATCACTTCAACAGTGTTAAATTAATGAACACATTTATTTCTCATTATCTACATTTTATGTAAGATTAATAAAAAAACTGAAGAGAGATATTAAAAATCACAAGACAGTTTTTGATACAAAGTGTATCAAAAAAGAGCAAAGATATAAAAAATCAGTTTTAAAATTAAAATGACTTTTTGAATTTAAAGACATTTAGTAAAATAAAATATACAGTGTACAACTATCAAATATTATAAAAATACTTTGGAAACAGTAAATTAAAAACTTTAAAAAATTGCTAAATTAAATTAATAAATTTTTTTCTATTTTTTATTGACGATTTTTTAGTAGATTTTCACTTTAACATTTTTTTTTATTTTATCTTCGTCGCGCCAGAAAGTTCTCCAAAGATACAATCGTGGAAAATAATATCAACAGAAATTATCAATAACAGAATGTCAACTGACAACTTTGTTTGTCAATTCTGATGAGTGTCAGAATATCAACATTCGAGTTAAATTTTTTCTGTTGTTTTTTGATAGCGCGTGTAAATTCGTGCATTAGAATATAAATAAATTGTGTTGCACGAGCGCGAGAGATAGTGGAAACTATCGTTTGTGGTGCTTTATGAAATGATTTGTTCTTATTGTGTCCTCTCTTGCCGAGAGTACACTGACTCTCTCGCAGACTGTCACACTGACTCCTCAAGAGCAACGACGCGCCGGTAGTTGTGTTCACCTGTTGCGCGCGGCGCAACGATAGCTTGACAAACACGTCTCGACGGCAGATTAGCGCGACATACGAGTCATTTATTTTTCCACGAAACCTCCGACGCGACAGTTTACTGCACTTTCGGTTAGCGATAACGACGACAGTGACCATTCACTGGAAAAATGTCCACGGATCGACTTTTTCGTCGTTTATTAATTAAAAAGCAGATGTGTAAACTTTTTCGATTACGTTTTGTGTCGAACGGCACAAAGAAAATGCAATTTAAATAGTTCAACTTGCATAGAAATTCTTATTGAATCTTGAATTCTTATTTTTCACATAATTTAAAAGCTTATGGATGATATGGTCCATTCATAATACCTATATAACTTCTGAAATCTCTCTCTCTCTTTCTCTCTCTCTGTGAATTTTTATTCAATTCCTACTTCAAACCATTTAATTTTCCAGTATCTGAAAAAAAAAAGAAGATTAATGGAATGAAATGTCACTCAATGTCATTCTGTGCCGTACAATCCGCACGTGCCGCGCGGTTTTAATTTTATACAAAGACTGAATCGGCACAATTTTGTTATAATGAAAACCGATGATACGTAAGAATGTTTTAACGAAAACCGATTGATCACACCGGCGGCCGCAAAAAATCATGGGTATTAATAAATGGAGTTTTCCACATGATTTTACCGCGGAACGATAGAGACGCGCGTTCTGACGAAATTTACAATTATGATGCAGTGTCCACGTAGCTTCGCAACCACAGAATTGTTCTGTGACTAATAGCGGAAACTGTGACCGCGAACTGTGCAAATCAGTTAAACGGTATCGAACGTTCTGCGATTAATTCTATCGCATTTTCATTTAAACGACGCGCGTGCACGCGCGCTGTATATTAATCGAAACGATATATTAAAAGCCGATGTTGTCGTCACGCGCAGATCTGCTGACTCTCCTTATTTTTGTGAAAGAAATTACATCGACTGAGAACTGAGATTCCACTTGAACTGATTATTGACGAACCCGAACGGATGTTGTATTTTCCTCATTATAATCAAAAACATATATACATATATACAATCGACGTCACTAGACATATGTTTGTGTAGAAATATATTACTTTTCGCGTTAATTAATTACGCGATTAAAGTTATTGCATCGCAATAGTTCGCAGTTTCTCGTCAAAAACTTGTTTAATTGTTAATCACTTTGCATTTTAATGAACGCGAACGATCGGGAAACTTCCCAACATTCGACGTATGTAAATCCGGTATTTCCACGAATTTGTTCGCTTTATCATCGCACACCAACAACCAAGAAGAGATTTAGATTAGAAATCATCTTATTTCTTGATTTATTCGCGCCTTGTATACGTACAAAGTATATAGTTTCATATATTATTGTAAACTTTACCATTTTTTTTTTTAAACAGATAAAAGAAAACTGAAATATTATCAGAATTTAAATAAATTTTGAAATTTAACAAGAGCTCAGAGTTTTTGTTTCTCTCTTTAAATCGAGATAGTACGATTATATCGATCTACTTTTTCTCTGGATGTCTAGGATCTCGCCGAAACTATGACGTTGATTACTCACGACTTATCGAGCGACTCGCATCATTAGGACGGAAATCTCTCGCACTTGTCACGAGATCGTGAATGAACGTGTCGGCGTATAAAGTGCCATCACACGCCACTTGTCTATTTTTAAGCGATGCGCAGACAATTATCAACGATTCCCCCGAATGCGATAACGAAAGTTTTTAGGCATTATCGTTCGTGCACAAATGTTCGATCTAATGACGCGCGTGACTAAAAGAAAACAAAGACAGGAACCTTATTTCTACGTGTGGCGACGAAAGTTTCGCATGTCGCATGTTTTAACAACACGGTTAATCTCGTATACAATATTTACTTGTGCGAGTTATCGCGCTTATCGCCGTATCGACCCCCCTGCGAGATATCTCTATGACATCTCGCATGACAACTTTGAAACAACAATTGTGTGACGATAATTTATTGCTCTGCAGCAATGACACACCATATCGATTTAAAACGTTAATATATATATATACATATAAATTATTGTGGTACGAACATATTAACAAAAAAAACTGATAAAAAATATATTAATCATAAAAACATTTAAAAAAACAAGATACAACAGATAATCAAAAAATATATTAAAAAATTACTTTATATTAAATACGAATAAAGAATTGAAAAAAAGTAAATACCTTTTCAAGTTTGTTAAGTCAATTACTAAAAATTGTTTTAAGTACAGGCGTGTGTCCCGCGTGTGTTTTGACAGCGATCGATCACCTACCGGAATCCGTCTTTGCGAGTGTGTCTTCGCGAAGCGTCGAGACTCCCCAATTGAGATTACGCCGAACGCGAGGGATTGCCTAATTCATTTATCTGTTGGCCAATCGTTGCATAATGATAAGCCTCGTGGCCCAAAAACAGCAGAAACGACGGAACGGTGAAACTCGGTGAAATTGGCGGCCGCGCTCTAAGCCGGCCCCGACCGACAGAGGAGATTATAGAATAGCCAAACTCTAAATGGCCGAAGCGCGGTGCCATTGCGTACAATGCGACGTCGCGGCGCAAAAAAAAAAAGAAAAAAAAAAAGACGAATTGACAAAATAGCCGCGCGCGACCGCGCGCGTTGACCGTACTTTCACTAGATTAAATTTGCCGCGCAGGGCTCACTCGATTAACTTCCATCTCGCTCTCACTCTCCCAGGGGCTTACCAGCGGCGAAGGAATGGTGCGGGGCACCGTGACGATCTGCATCAGCGTGTATATCACGCTTTTTTCGCACTCGTTTCTTTTTGCAACTTGAACGAATGACTCAGTCCACGTCGGTCGCGAGGTGAGAAAGAGACCGGCGTATATATTATACTTAGCGTAATATATGTAATAAACTCTCTGTATCGTAATTAATCATCAATAGCGCGGTAGTTGAATTTCGGGTAATATGTTACCTGATCATGTGCTCGAATCGCGACTTTGAATTGCGAGCGTGAGAAGCGAAGCGTCGTAAGTAAGTCACGTCGGCAAATTACAGAGTGACGTCGGCTCTACCCGAGTCGAAATTTAGCGTCTACATTGAACCTCAATTGCTTTTTTTTTATGTAGGAGTAAGAGAGAAAGTAGATCCTACTTTGACGCTGCTGTACGTCCGAAATTTCCTTTTTTCCCGCTAAAGTTTTGAAGTAGGGTTCAATTCTCAGATCAGACTGCGCATTGCAGGCTCAAAATAGGTTCTGATAGGCTCAAAGTAGGAGTAAGAAAAAAAGTAGATGCTACTTTGACGCTGCTTTGACGTCCGAAATTTCCTTTTTTCAAAAATTGAGGTTCGATGTAGACGCTAAATTTCGATTCAGGTAATTTTCATTCTTTATTTTTAACAATAAATATAAAGACATAAACGAATAAAAAAGCATATTAATTGATGTATTACTGATCTGAGTCTGATATAAATCGAGTCTCGGTAGTATTATATCTTCGAGAAAAAAAGAATCGTGCGGAGAAAAGATTAAAATCTATGTATATATATATATATACTTATATATACACATATTCTATATAATTAAATACGAGATTAACCTAATCAACCGATTCATCAGAGAATTTCCGCGCGCGAGTCCTGGAATTGTTCATTATTTTTATTTATTCGCCAACTTTGGGGCGGGGATATCTCTACACATTGTATAGAGTCAAATGCGAGATAAGATATACGTTGCACATTTCTCTTTGTTAACTGATGACACAGGATTTCAGTAGTGAACGCACCGGATTATCGAAAATGATCGAATTAATCTGCGTCTCTCTTGTGTGTCGTTTCACATCGAATTAATTTCTGAACAAAGTCATAGATTTCTGAACAAACCGTGCAATTAAGATGTGATTCATGCAAAGAACTCTCTTTTTCTCTCTCTCTTTTACATTCGCTCTCAAAAGAATTCTTACCGCGAATGTGACGGATACGTTCATTACGAATACGTCTTACTTCTGCGATATATCAGCAGCGCGCACTTAAAATGTCATTTTCGTGACAGCAAAGGAGCGAAGAAACAAAACTTTCCTTTCGTACGCGTACAGGTATGTACATTTGGAATACTTTTAGTCTCTCTCTCTCGGATGAGGAAGTCATAAATATAACTTGTTTTTGAAGAACTTATGCACTTATGAAAAACACACACACACACACACACATGCGTATGATTTCTTGCTTCCAAGTATAAAACGAGGTAAAAGAACAACGGAGCGACAGATAAGTACATCTTAAACGCGAGATTGATTTGCGATTAAAGCGCAATGACGCGCATATAGGTGCAACAAGTATCTAATATAACTTGTTCCGCGCTCTAACGAGATTGTAAGATCAACCGCGGTTCTTAGTTTCTCACACAGTGTCCTTTTATTCAGCGATTCTTTAGCATACCAAAAATATTTTTCGAAATAAAAAAAAAAGCTGCATTTTCTTATTGTAGAATAAAAACTTGTGTATTTTTAAATTAAAATATCAAAATTTTTATTTATTACTATTTATTTATTTTTAAAAATTACTTTTTATATCTTCAGACAAATTGATTCGAAAAATTATTTGCATAAAAAATTACATAAAAATTATGTTATAGATTTATAAAACAAAATGATAAAAAAACCAATGCTGAAAACATTAATGCTAACTCTTCGATATTTTATCGCATTTAAGTCGTAGAAGAAGGTAATAAACAAGATTTGTGTAAAACAAGATTTGTGATAAAAAAAAAAAAAAAAAGAAACTTCCTTGTAATTGTTAATTTAAAACAAGCACGTGTGCATTTTTTTTTTTGAATATTTACTTTAAAATTCTGAAAACTACTCCGCGTCACCGCGCGGATACACACGTCACGTTTAAGCAAAGCGAGACATAGGTAGCCAGGAAAAGTAGAGGCTCGCGCGCGCGCGCGAGCGGAGGAGCGAAGCGTGCACTTCTCTGCCTCCGCGCCGTTATGTAACCGAAGCGATTCTCGGAGCCAAGCGACGCGCGAGAGTGAGGTCAATTTGTGCGGAGATCGTCGTGTGTATACACACATGCACGACGACACTTATACACACATGCGCGGTGCCACATTTATACACATGGTTACTCGCGCGAATATTCGTCGAAACGCTACGGGCATATATATAAGAGTGAGTTGGCATAGAGCGTGAAAGTGAAGCGGCCGAACGTATACAACGTCTCTGTATGCGTGACGTTATTAACACATACGTATGTGTGTATATATATATATACATACATGAGACTAGCTGGCGCACGTGTAAACGCGAGCGTAAAAGTGTGCGTGTGAGCTGTGCGTGGAACGAGCGCTCTAAGATCGGTTTACACCATTCACCAAGTCGGCAGCACCGTTATCGAGGAAGAATGAGAAGGAAGAACACAATTTTTTTTTTTTTTTTTTTTTTAAAGAATAACACCGTGATTTTTTTTCGTGCGAGAGATTTGATTCCAGGACGTTTATAGAGATAGTTTGTTAAAAAACAAGATTTATTAAAAACAAGATCAATATATATATATATATATATATATATTTTAATGTTATTTCAATGAAAAAAGAGAAATTATATATCGCGCTCCGCAGCTTTATCTTCTGGTCAATTTCTGGTTTATCGCGTATTTTAACTATTAAAAAACAACATTATCACAAACATTACTTTCTCTTCGTATAATATTAATCAGCGTTTCTCAATTTCAAAAAATATGATCTTCCAAATCTGTGATTTTTACGTAATTATGTAAAAAATTTGAAAAATCCCTGATTTTTTAATGCTAAATAAATATTTTAATAAATCGCACATATGAAAAATTTTTCCCTAATAATTGAAACAATTATTACAACACATTCCGTTAGCGGAACGCGCAGAACCGTTTCTCGGAGATACCGCCGATTAATAAGCGTATACTGCTTAGGCAAGAAAATATCGAGAAGGAAAGACGCGGAAGACAAAGAAGACGGACGATAGCGGAAAACTCGGCGAAGAAGAGAGGAGGACTCTCGGCGGGAGTTGTTGCGCTCTTTGAGGAGGAGCGGGCAAGTAGGAGCGAGTAGGTGAATCGCCGCATGGCTCGGCAGAGCCGTGTACGGCGTGGTGCGGCGTGGGGTTGCGCTGGTGTAAAGTGTGCCAAGGTGCACTTCTCGAGAAAGCCGAACCGACCGGACAAGCTAACCACGCCACACCGTGCTCCGCCGGCTATCGCCGGCCGCGAACACATTTCGTTCTATTACCGCTACGCGCTCGGAGATTTAGGGATGCTGTTATTTTCAAGATTTTTGTTGACGATATCTCAACGGAGAATTTTAAAAAAACTGACAAGTCGGAAAATATAATCGTAAATAACTAAGATAACAAAAGAGATAAAATGACACCGAGTTACTTAAAGCAACTGATAAACTTGAATAGCGATTGTTAGAAAATATACTGAGAACACAACACGCAGTCGTTCGAACGAAAAGAATACGTGACGAAGATTCGACGACGTGTTGAATCGAACAACATATTCAAGTTGTAAAATTAACGTCAGCCAATACTTGACGTAAACCGAGCAACGTCTCGTCTGTTAATGAAAACTCACTGAAAACACCGTCCGTATTCTTCATTTACCGAAAGTGGTATAATCGGGAATAACGCTTGGAGAGAACTCGCGGTGCTTCAATGCTACATTAATTAACGCGCTTCTAAATTAATTGTCGTGTCGGTACGGTATGTGAAGCGAGATCGAAGATATTGCCGCACCAGCTAGCTACCAGATCCGGTAGCCGAGCAATTCAACTCTCCACCTAGCAAAGTCCGTTACTATAATAATTGCCGGAGTGGATTACGTCCTGCGTGAAAAAAAAAAAAAAAAAAAACGTTGATCGCGCTACCGTTGATTGCTGACGTAAATGACTGAAATTGCGGTAGGTATATTCTTGCTTATCTTGACTCTCCGAAATGTGTTAAGAAATATTTATGCGCGTGCGCATAATCCGGAGAGACTTGAGATTTCGATACGACGACGAAAGACGCAAAGGAAAACGAAATGCGGAAAGGCTCTATCCGGTCGATCAAAAATTTCAGTGGCTTTAACTAAAACGTCAGTTTTTTTTTTCCTTTCTGCGAAATAAGAATAGCGATGACGAGACGTCACCGGAAACGGAGCTTCCACTACATAATCGCACGCACAATCAAGCTACATATATATATATCCGAAGAATATCAGAGACATTAAGAGAGGAAAAGTGAAAGATCGACCGCAAAAAAATGAAAGACGAAATTCCGATTGTCTTCGCGCGAATCTTCGCGTTCTGAAGACAGAGATAGTTCGTAGAATAATCTACTTGATGTGTCACATATTTCTTTTGCAAGAAATTGAGATACATAGACAAAAGCAATAAAAATCTTTGTGCGTTATAAAACTGTTATAAAACTGTTTTAAAACTGTTTTAAATTGTGTTGTTTTACATAAAATTCGCGGAATAAAAAATGTGCGACGATAAAATATAAGAAGTAACGTAATGCGTGGAATTTTTACAAAATTATAACGTACGTTATACTTTTTATGGAACCACATCAATCATCAAAACTATTATCATCTCTCTCCTATAATTCTCTCGGTTTTATATATCCCGCAAAACTTTCAACTATAAACGTTGTCTACCGCTGGCGGGGTAACAAAGGAGCCGATATTCTCAGAAACAAAATGGAACACGCACGTTGAGAAGAACGAGACGAAGGAAGCTGCACTGTGACCGCAGTAATGAAAACTTAAAGAACTTCCGTGCTACAAATATCACTCGATTCTTTTCTCTCTCGTCAAAAGTTTTTCCTTTTCTCAGAAATTCTTTTTATTTTATTCTAACAAAAGAAAGAAAGAGAGAGAAAAAGAGAGAGACCACATATAGATTATTTCAGTATTAAACAAAACTATTACGTCGCTCAACTCAGAAAAATTATAAAAGTAACAATAATTATTTTTATCATTGGAATAACGATTTAACTAAGCACGTGTTAAAAACTGTTTCGTTTTCTTCCAACAACAAGTGCCGCTGTTTTCGTGCATGGTGTTTTCCATGATGATCCAGGCTCTCACATTTGCGATAGCTTTTGCGCGCATCGTTGACCCAAGCGTAGGCGATCGCACGCACACACGTGCACATCCGCGCACCTGTACACGCGCCGAATATAGATGCCAGTATTGAGGGCACTCGCCCTAATAATAGAAGCCGAGAAAATTTTTAGCCCTTGATGCCGTGCCGACAGCCGGATCTCGCCCCCCCATAGGGATCCGATTCGGAACGTGCGGAGATATATAAGCTGATATATAACACTGAAAATTCGGTCGAGAGAACCAGGATCGCGGAAACGGGAAGAGAAACTGCCGCAAAATGTATCGACAAACGATATTATCGATTACATCCGAGAATGATGTACACATCTAAAATCTCAATTGTCAAGTGATGACTGACGATGGCAATATTGATATATCCGTTAAGATGTTAATTCGCTGGGAATAATATCGCAAAGCGGAATACCCGCGTAATTTTATACCGTAATTTTCTCTCCTGTCAAACCGTAACCTCTTCGACAGATGCGAACACTTATCGATCATTTACTGTTTCCTTCAGAGAGAGAGAGAGAGAGATATTCTTTAGTTATTATTCCGAGAATACTTAAATGTATAATAAATGTTTGCGCGAACTTTCATACAAGCTTCGATTAATCACGCGATTATCGTAATCTTCAGAGAATATTGTACATTACATACTGCAATATGATAAATGTGGACATTTGTAAATACGTTAAACGGTTAAACGCTTATCCGTCCTCATAGAGAGGAGCAAATGTCGGAATCAGAAAATTTACACAATTTTCAATTTTTTCATTGTATTCAGCTATCTCTAAAAACTGTCTATATAATTGTTTTATTTAATATATATAAACATTTTTCTTCTCAATTTAATATTTTCGAATATAATGATGAGGAAACAATCTCTTGTTTCGCACAGTCTTAATAAATATATATCTTACATTATATTATATTATATTAGGTCTATCGGAAAGTTCTGTCCGCTTTT